TGCTCTGGACATCAGCAGCATCACCGGCATCACCAGCTCTCTGTATGAGTCTGGCCTGCTTGGTGCGCGTGCCACCAGTCCTGGCGCCAAGTCCGAAGTGGGCGAGAAGAAGAAGCGCAAGCGTGCTCCCCCGGACCCCAACGCTCCCAAGCGCGCCTTGACCCCCTTCTTCCTTTACATGCAGCACAACCGCTCCCGTATTGCTGAGGAGCTGGGCCCCAATGCTAAGCCTAAGGAAGTCTCTGACGAGGGTACTCGCCGTTGGGCTGAGATGCCTGAAGTCCAGAAGGAGGTACGTTGACATGCCCATTTGATTATAAAGAGCGCCGTTGCTAACTCACGCGCAGGTCTGGAAGAAGCTGTATGCGGACAACCTTGCTGTCTACAAGGAGAAGGTGAAGGCCTACAAGGCTGGCCTCCCTTACTCGGACGATGCCAAGGCTGCCAGCCAGCTGCACCAGGGTATTGAGGGCGCCGAGGCCACCGAGGCGTCTGAGGATGAGGAGCAGGAGTCCGAGGAAGAGTCTGAGGAGGAGTCCTCTCCCGAGCCTGTCAAGGAGCCCACTCCCCCGCGCAGCACCAAGCGCCGTCGTAGCGAGGGTAAGCCTGCTGCTAAGGAGGCACCGACCCCCAGCGAGAAGAAGAAGGAGTCCCCCGAGAAGAAGAAGCGTGGGGCCGCTGCCCGGAAGGAGAAGGAGCAGGAAGAGACCCCTGCTCGCAAGGCTGCGGGTGGCGAGAACAAGCGCGCCACCAAGAAGAAGCGCAAGAGCGAGGCCGGTGCTGAGGAGTAAGTACGATACGAGTATGAGGGATCTGGTGATTTGAAGAAGGTATGGAGTTCAAACTTGGAATTGGGCGCCTGTCTACTGCCACAACTGGTAGCTGCTACGTGATGTAAATTTGCCCCCTTATATGACTACTCTCTCTCTCTGTGTGTGTAGCATATCGCGGATTGCTTTGTTGGGTACCATTGCTGCTGGGGTCGCTGTGTTATCTCATTTACTTTCCTCGGACCTGTTGGCGTCTTGACTGTTTTGCGCTTTGCGGGGTGTTATTCAGTTGGGACTGGGTCATTGGTAGTTCAATTTGAATGGAAGAACCACAAAAAGAAAAAAGAAGAATAAAAAAGGAAGGGAAAAGCTTGTTTCCAACCTAAATCGCTGCTTATTCTATGACTAGTCCAGTAGCAGCGTGTAGAATGTAGATACTAGCTCGAATAGTTGCTACGGTGGTGTTTCCATTCCCCGGGGTACATATTGGGCTGAAGCGAACGGATAGCGACTAAACCGAGAGAGGCAAGAAGTGGAGGTGGCAGTGGCCGGCGAGTGCCGATGTTCAGTTCCAAACCTCCAAGCGAAGTTTCCCGATTGACTGCAAGCCGTTAGTCACCTGGTCCAAGCCGGGCTGCCATAGGTCGATGCACTGCTTATCAGCAGCTGCCGACCGCTTATCGGGCAATGGCTTCGCTCGTTTCGCGAAAGTATGAGATGCCAAAGATGGAATGTCTGGATATCCCCACCTTTTCCACTTTTACCTCCCGATCCGGCGCGCCTTTTCTCCCCCGGCCGTGGCGTTTAAATTCCTCTCCCGAGCCTGCGTCCCTGGTCCATTCTGGCCTGTCAACTTCTCCAAAATAACAACAAAGTCCGCGTTTACCATCTGACGTCTCATATCGTTGCCCGCTCCCCTCCTCCACCCTCCCAGAAAGCCCGCCTTGCGTCGGAGGTTGGGTCCACTGCTTCATCCTTGGTCCCGCGAGGACGTCTCTGATTTTGAGGTCAAGGGCATTCTCACTGCCAGCCCAGCATGCATTTGTGTCCCAAGGAGGTACGCTGCGATCTTTGGCACTACGTACTTCATACTGCTCGAATCAGACGGATTGACTGACCACCTGCTGCTCTTCTCTCCAGCTTGACAAGCTCGTTATCTCTCAGCTGGGCTTCCTGGCCCAGCGTCGACTGGCTCGCGGTATTCGTCTCAACCATGCCGAAGCTGCGGTATGTTGCACATTAGCTCCATTCCATGCGCATGGTGATTCGTTGGAGACTTGACTGACGATCTTCGGTAGGCGTTAATCTCGTCCAACCTGCAGGAGGTAAATAGCCCACCACTCTGTGAAAATCATCTTGACCATCTCCGTTAATTCTCGTCCGCTGTTACAGCTGATCCGCGATGGACAATATTCTGTAGCCGATCTCATGTCTATCGGGAAGAGCATGCTGGGTCGCCGTCATGTTCTCCCGTCCGTCGTTTCGACTCTTTACGAATTACAGGTCGAAGGAACATTCACCACTGGTACCTACCTCGTGACAGTACACAACCCTATCAGTAGCGATGATGGAGACCTTGAAAAGGCCCTCTACGGAAGTTTCCTTCCCATTCCCCCGGCAGATGCCTTCCCCGATCCTGATCCGGAGGACTACGAACCCGAGAAGACGCCCGGAGCGATATTACCTGTGAAGAACGAACGCATCATCCTGAACGAGGGAAGGAAGCGCATCAAGCTCAAGGTGATGAGCAGGGGTGACCGGCCCATCCAGGTCGGATCACACTACCATTTTATCGAAACCAACCCGCAGTTGCACTTCGACCGCCTTCGATCCTATGGATATCGACTCGACATTCCCGCTGGTACGTCGGTACGGTTCGAGCCCGGAGACACCAAGGTAGTTACGCTTGTGGAGATTGGAGGCCACCGGGTTATCCGTGGAGGTAATTGTATCGCGTCCGGCAAGGTCGATCTTGCCCGTGCTGAGGAGATCATGGCCCGTCTGCAAGTGCAGAACTTCGCCCATGTTCCCGAACCTACTGCCGACAGCGCGCTGGTACCTACACCGTTCTCCATGGACCGTGAGGCCTATGCGCGTATGTTTGGCCCTACTACTGGTGATCTCGTGCGCCTGGGTCTGACCAATCTCTGGGTTCGTGTGGAGAAGGACTACACATCTTATGGAGACGAGTGTACATTCGGCGGTGGCAAGACTATTCGAGATGGCATGGGTCAGTCTTCGGAAAAGTCCACGCAGCATGCTCTGGACACCGTCGTCACGAATGCTCTGATTATCGACTGGACTGGTATCTTCAAGGCCGATATTGGAATCAAGGATGGGCTCATCGTGGGCATTGGTAAAGCTGGAAACCCCGATATCATGGACGGTGTTACCCCGGGCATGACTGTCGGCTCCTCGACCGATGTTATTGCAGGTGAGAACAAGATCGTCACAGCTGGTGGTTTCGACACCCACATCCATTTCATCTGCCCCCAGCAGGTGGACGAGGCGCTCGCTTCTGGTATCACGACGTTCTTGGGAGGAGGAACCGGTCCCTCCACTGGCTCCAATGCCACGACTTGCACGCCTGGTCCCGTTCACATGCGCCAAATGCTCCAAGCTTGCGACCGCCTGCCCATCAATGTTGGTATCACCGGTAAGGGTAACGACTGCGGTGGCGTAAGCATTGAGGAGCAGATCTACGCCGGTGCCGCCGGATTGAAGCTGCACGAAGATTGGGGTTCCACACCCGCCGCCATCGACAGCTGCCTTGACCTGTGCGACAAGTTCGACGTCCAGTGCATGATTCACACCGACACGCTAAACGAATCCGGATTCGTTGAACAGACCATTGAAGCATTCAAGAACCGCACTATCCACACCTACCACACCGAAGGTGCCGGTGGTGGTCACGCTCCGGACATCATCTCAGTCGTGGAGCACCCCAACGTCCTCCCCAGTAGTACCAACCCAACTCGGCCCTTCACTCTCAACACCCTCGATGAACATCTCGACATGCTCATGGTCTGCCACCATTTGTCCAAGAACATTGCCGAGGACGTCGCCTTCGCAGAGTCTCGTATCCGCGCGGAAACCATTGCGGCCGAAGACGTTCTTCACGACCTTGGCGCTATTAGCATGATGTCCTCCGACTCCCAGGCTATGGGTCGCTGCGGTGAAGTCATCCTGCGGACATGGAACACCGCACACAAGAACAAGGAGCAGCGCGGCCCGCTGCCGGAGGACGAAGGCACCGGCGCCGACAACTTCCGCGTGAAGCGCTACGTCAGTAAATACACCATTAACCCAGCCATCGCGCAGGGTATGTCCCATATGATTGGCAGTATCGAGGTCGGCAAGATCGCCGATCTCGTCTTATGGACGCCCAGTGCGTTTGGCGTGAAGCCAACGCAAGTGGTGAAGAGCGGCATGATCGCCGTGTCAGTGATGGTACGTTCTTCCCCCTAATTAAGAAACCCCTAAGAATACAAATGCTAACGAACCACAGGGTGACCCCAACGCATCCATCCCCACCGTCCAACCCGTCATCATGCGTCCCCAATTCGGCGTAAGTCATCCCCACTTTCCCCCGTCTAAGCCATCACCACTAACCAGAATACCCAGGCCCTCGTCCCCTCCACCTCCATCACCTTCGTCTCCCAAGCCTCCCTCGACGCAGGCATAGTCCAGTCCTACAACCTGCAAAAACGCGTCGAAGCCGTCAAAAACTGCCGCAACATCGGCAAAGCCGACATGAAGTTCAACGACATCATGCCCAAGATGCATGTCGACCCAGAAAGTTACCGTGTCGAGGCGGACGGAATGCTCTGTGATGCCGAACCGGCAGGAAGTCTGCCGCTGACACAGGATTACTTCGTTTATTAAAGCAAGATATCCTTGGAAATTTCGGTTTGTTTGCATTCTCTGTATAGACTTTTTCTTCTCTTCCTTTTCTTTTACGATATTTTATGAGGGGCTTATAGGTGGATTGGTTGGTTGGTTGAAGGTGGTAGGATTAATGCATGAGATGGATGGGGATATCCGTGGAATGGAAGGAGGATTGTATATAGTAACCTGACCTGACCTGACTTACTTACGTGATGAGCCATATGTGATATGAATTGCATTATTTGTCTTCTTTTATAATTTATGAAGCGTTATGACGAGGATTTAGACTGCGTAGTATAACGCCAGCAGGCGAGCAGTGAGTGACTGACTGCAGTGGTCTGATCAGAGTTCAATCTCCTCTTCGGTATGATTATCCCCAGTTGATATAAGTGAGACCGCCGCCCACGCTTCGAAGCTATCTGCTCGTGCGGCTAGATATGCGTCCCGGCGGATTTGGGCTGATACCGATCGCCGAAGACTTTGCTGTCGCTGTTGTTGGTGGCGATGGCGATGAAGAGAAGTGGTGATATAGTCGGTTGTACCGTCATAGTTGGGAATTATACTTTCATCGTCTTGTCGTTGCTCAATGTCTGGTTCCAGCTCCTGAGATTCGAATGTTGATGATGCTAAGGACAGCGGTTCGCTGAATTGGCTGTTCGTTTGAGTTTGATTCTCGGTTTCATCTGGCTGTGGGAGTGGAGCTGAGGGCTGGGTATCTGTTGTTAAATTCTGGGTTCCAGGGTTGGTGTTGGTAATGGAGGACGTTTGTGTTTCGATGGGTAAGGTGTGTTTGGGTGCCGTTATAGAGGTGGGATGAGGTGGGTTGTCTGGAGGAGGGTGCGGGGTCGGAGCGATTTCACATTTGGGTAATTCTGTTTCTTCATCGGTCCAAGAGGAAGGGAGGGAGTCGAGCTGGTAGAGCGCACGCTGGGAAGGCTCGGCGTTGTTAAGCATGTGCCAGGCACGGCGGATCTCATCACGGCGTGCCTTTGCAGTTTCTGGGGACAGGGCGGGAATAATAAGAGGCTGGCCCGTGGGTACTGGAGCGGACTCTTCGATTGGCTCGAGAGACGATGAAAGAGGAATCCGGTCTGAGGAAGACAGTGGATCGATGGTGGCTGCTGGGAGTGGAGGATGGCTTAATTGGAGCGGTTCCGGTATACTGCTGTCGATCATGCTGGACGTTTGTTGGCTTGACTGTGTTGTAAAGGAACCTTCATAGCGGGCTCTTTTTCTTGCTCGTATCTCTGGATCTTTTGCTGTCAAGTCCCGCATCTTCTGATCGTGGGCGAATCCAGTCGCGCTGCAGAGGTGCCCGAAGAGGGTTTGCATTGAGACATCTTCTTCCCAGCTCACGGGGTCGACTGTGCAAGGATAGACGTCTTTGGGCCTGAATGCGGAAACAAGATGACAAAGTTCGGAGTAGGAGGAATGGCGGGAGTAGGGGAAGTGCTATGAACGTTAGGGAATATTCAGGGACTGGGTTATGTGATGGATACGCACGATGATTCTGGGGAGGGGATTGCCTTGTCTGTCTCGTAGACGTGTGTGCTGATTGGCTTCGCTTGATGCAGAATCGTCGTCAGGACGGCCACGACTCAGTATGCCCACGAGGTCTTCTAGGGGCAAGTCGTGTGCATCTTTCATTCCGTAATTATCGAGAGATAGTGCTTTGGTTTTTGATCGGAACGCGTCAATAAGAGCCTGTCTCGTCTGTGAGAGCGCATGTTTATCATGAATGCGCTCGGAACAGAGCTTTTCTAACTGTTCCAATGCTGACTGGTCCGGGAGCTCGAGTTCGTGAACTTGGTATAGATCACCACCTCCCCCGCCAGCCCCGATCTCGGGCATTTCTAATCCATCATCAGTGCGGGTCACAATCGGCCTAATGTAAACGGTATCTCGAGACGCAGCTACAGGACAGTGAACGCCTGGCTCGCAGCTATGGATGCGGGAACCCTCATCCTCGCTAAGGCAGCCTGGAACGAACCGGTTCCCGAGTTCATAGCCACAGAGGAAAGGAGCATCGTTCACACTGCGAGAGGCCAGCGACCTATATAGATCCATTTGATACCGGTCCACGTGGATCTGGAATCATCAGTACAGATGCCGTACTGTTGTAGATTACAATACGCACCTTTGAATTGAGGGCAGCCGACAGTGCCATCCAGACTTCTTCGTAGCCAAAGGTCCAAGCCCGAAGATAGAATGTAGTGCAGTCCGGGTACGCTTGGATTTTGTTCAACAGCTCCTTCAAGCCCTCTGCCTTTGATGGAAAGGTATGACATACATGCGACGGGCGGGCGAAGGTGTTGTCAATGTATATGTTATCTAGTTGCTTGTTCCCCAAGGTATAGGGAACGAGGACGGGATTCCTGATAATGCTGTTGACCCACCAGGGTTCAGCTACAGACCATTAGCAAGAAAGTAAGCTCGTGGAAGCTAATGTAGAGCTTTCATACCGCGAATATCGCCAGTATATAGTATAGCCTTCCCATTGCCCTCTATCAGAAACATTACCGCGCCCGTGCAGTGGTTTGCATCGAACAGAGTGGCTCTGATTGACAGCCGTGGGGTGAGATCCAGCTCCGTTGGCGTGTTCAACGGAATCGGCCTCTGTGCCAATGAGGATACTGTCATGATACTGGTAGAGGATACATACCAGAAGCTTAGACAGATGTTTGTAATGCAATTTTCGAGACTCTAGGATCCCTTTGCTAAAGTTCATACGATGAGGATACTTTTCAATGCGTAAGAGCATCTGGGAGAATATGAGTTTGTGCTACAGCAAGATTTGGGTCAATAAGCACCTCTCGAGTCGCCGCAGAGCAGTATATAAAAGGAGTTCTAAAGGACTCCAGCCCTTGAAGATGGTCACTGTGAACATGGCTGAGAAAACAGGCGAGCGGAGGCGGCCTCTCTGGATTCTTGCGGAAGTAGTCAACTGCATGACTTTTAGAGTTGATAATCACCTATCGGGAGTTTACCAACTTCTTACTCTGAATGGAGGGAAATTCTACACTGCATTAGAGAGCAGACTTAGCTTGTCGAAGGATCGGAAGTATACACCTACCCCGGACAAACCCATCGAAGGTGGACATGGGACGTGGTTGCGTCGCAATGGACGAAGGCTGGAGCGGAACACAACTTAATTCATCCTCAGTCGATGGAGGTAGACCAACGTCAAACGCAGCATGAGGGACGATGATGAGTTGGAAGAAGAGACGAGAAGTGGAAAGAGAAGGATGGCGAGAGGCAGTTGTGGTGGCCGTGGTTCCCAATCGGGGGGGCCTGTATACACGTGACCGACAAATATTACGAGACGGTGAACAACTCGATAGTCAAAGTAGAAACAACTCGAGGTGTGACGGAGAAGATGATTTGTTTTCTCATTGGCACCATTGGATGACGATGATGAGGTTGCTGTGCCTGCCCGATCTACTGAATCTTACCGCCACTTGCCCAGACCCTAGTCTAAATAGCCAGACAAGATGGATTTCCTCCATTTCTGCACCAAGACTCACTGACCAGCCCATCCGCGGCCCGTTACTGATGGATCAACAGGCAGCTGCTCACCCCCTTGTCTAGGCCTTCCACCCACGAGTGAGAAAAATGTCCTTGATCCTATCAAGGTATAATCCGGGGCTCTCCAGGGCAAGTACCTACATGGCGCCGGCGTGAAGCCAACGGGCAGAGAGAGCCCTGCCAGCGACCAAGTGGCCTTGCAGGCAATGAGTGTGAGGCGAGTGGGCGTCAAGACCCGCTCGCCAGCACAGGTTTCGGTGCCATTCATGGCTCGAGTCTATTGGGAGAGGCGGACAACTCGTCCTTCGATGGATCTCTCCTGTTGTCACGGATTTAGGTTGGCTAACTCACGACTCCACGCAGTTCGTCCCCTATGCGCTGGTCATTTGCCTGCGTGGTCCGGTCTGTCCCAGTGTGTGTCACCCGACTGGCACCAAAGACTCCTGGCCTGATATATAAACATGATCTCTATCCTTCGCTTTTCCAACCCGGGCTTGATTTTCTTTTTTGGAAATCATCACTAACGCTTTCTTCCTTTGCTTTTCCCTGGATCGGGAACAGCCCTACGACCGACAGCGATCATCATCATCATCGTCATCACCATGGGCCCTTCTTACTAGGTCTTGTGAGTGACAAAAGTTGACGGATTAGGCTTTGGGTCCTAACGGTACCTGAAGTCAAGACATTTGGCGTGTTACAGCACCTCTCACGAAGAGCCCAACGATCCCAAAGTCGAACTGATAACAAGAAATAAATAAAGTCTGGGAGCCATCATCATCATCATCATCATCAGCGTCCCGTACCCACCCTCATCTTCATCTCCATTTTAACCCACGTGTGGACCGGGTTTCCATGTGTTAATCTGGTGGAGGCATGCCTTTCTGCGTCGGCCATCCCCTGAAGCAATCATAACCCGCCTTACGACCGTTTCACTAATTAATATTTGAATGCGGGCCGCGGCTGAAACCGTGGCGAGATCTGACGACTGCATCGCGGCATATCTCCTTTTCTAGCCCGTCCCCGTTTTCCACTATTGCCCGACGATCCCCAACGGCGCCCCCCCCCGTCCGGAACCAGATCTATTTGCATTCACAGTCCCTTTTTTGCATCTCCTGCCCTCGATTCATTCCTTGCCTTTCCGCTATTGAACGACGAAACTCTCATTTATTCTATTCTTACTAGCCTTCACTTTTCTCTTCCCCTCCTTTCCACATTCCAAGTTTCACCCTCCATCTTTTAATCAACATCCCTTTCTTTCCGAGTTGTTTTCTATACTTCTCTTTGGTATACTACTACAACCTCCGTCCCTTATCACCGTTCCCCTTGCCCAACTCTCGCTGTCAACACCGCCATCACCATCACCATGCATAAGCCTTCACTGGCGCAAATAGTGCACAGCACATTATTTCCTCGCCCGCGCGCAAGTGATCCGGCTACATTCTCCGCACATATTACCCGCAACCTGGTCCCAGAAGTTCGAGTCGAAACGTCCACATTCTATGGATCGCTTGACTGCCCCGAGGCTCAGTATCCGGGACTTGACTATTCCTATGGTCCGCACCGCATGAGGCTCGGTCGTTTTCCATGGCACCGAAGACTGTTCCGGGCCTTTGACGAGCTTGGTCTTACGGAGACCGAGATCTCATCCCTATGCCGCTGGGAGGGCACCAAGTCGGCTCGCGAACGTTACGAGAAGGAAGAAGGCGTGAAAGTCCGCGATACTACGGCCGACAATATTCGACCCGCTTCTCCATCTCCTCTTCCATCGATTGAAGTCCACTATGAGGATGAGACGGAGGAGGAAGAAGAAGAACTCTTGCCAGAACCGGAATACCCAGTGGTGACATTTGAGACCGTGCGCTCTACTAGCAGCCTGATCGATGACCGGGGGATCGATTGCATTGTGGAAGAGAAAGAGGAGGAAGACTCAAGCGATGACGAAATGGAGAGCTGCGGAGTCGAGCTGAATCATCGCCTCATAGCAGCGACCGCAGCCCGCGAGCAGGGGGCCGACGTGTCACTGGACGAGGATTGGGAGCAGTGGCTGAAGGAAGCCGGGGAGCGAGGGAGCTACACAGATGTGCTCAGTGCGATCCGTATGGGTCAGCCACTGGGTTACCTATACGATACGTCTCCTCCAATGCCGCCCCTCGGAAGGGTCGGCGGTCGATCGTCTGCCTCACTTTCAGAGCCATTCGTTCTGCCCACCCCGTCCATGCTGTCGAGTCGGGGCATCCAGCGCTATGCTCATTCGTCGTCACGGGCAGCCCGATAGAACGGCAGTCGACTTGAGGTTTCCTTCCCTGCCAGCTTCAACATTTAGCGAACGGGTCCGGCTACTCTGATTTATGCATTTGCGGCGCTTCCTCGGTGGATATCTTGGCGATATTGCTCATTGCTCTGCTTCCCACATTCCCGAATTATCTTTCGACCGTATAGATTTCCTGTGACTCTGCGCGTCCTCCTTTCACTTTCTACAGTTGTAATACCCCCTGAGAGCCACATGCGGCACCATTTGCACATAGATGCGCCCTCGTTGATCGTCTTTCTTAGAGTCGAAATAAATTGCAGATTAGAAGAATGCAGTAACACATACAATGGAGAATAATTATAGTATGATCTTGAAAAGCGTTGTGATAATCCCTGGAGAATGAGGGGGAAATTACAGTTAGCGGTCGGCGGGTGGATGTTTATTTGGTGGAAACTCCGCGTTGGGCTGGAAGCTCCCCGCAGCTCCCCGCGAACTCATCAGTCTTTCCCCCCTTCCCTCTCGATGCCTTCCATTCCACCATGATCAAAGCCATCTTCTACAGTAAATTCGACACGCAGGAAGGTACGCAGCCTCAAGCTAGTTGGGAATCTCACTCAATGTCATTTGCTGACTGCTCCAAGGGCCCAAGGTCGTCCACCAAGTTCCCGATGGCGCGATCGTCCCCTCCGCAACTGCCCCCTCGCAGCCCCTCTTCCTCACCTTCTCCGACATCTCCTTCTTCGTCATTCCCCGGCAAGAGCTGTGTGGAAATCTGATCCAGGTCTGCACCAATGGCTATCGAATCCTGGGATATCCGATCTGCATGAAGTCCCTGCGATACGACCGAAATGAGTTCATCTTCAATTTCTGCGTGGTGCTGGCTGAGGAGGAGGATTTCAGCACCTACAAGAGTGTCGTGCAGAAGCTGGCGGATTTAATGCATGGATTGGAGGAGCAGAATGGCTTCCTATCGCGAGATCACTCCAAATCCGGCGAGGGGAAGGTATACAGCCTGTGTGAGACGCTGATGGAGGATCTGAACAATTACTGCGAGTGCATGATCCCAATCGGTAATGCCTACCCTTTCAGTCCACTGCGTGTCTACCCAAACTCAAGATGCTAATTGGGGATATTCCAGACGAGCTGAACACCCTCAACATCAAGCTCTTCCCTATCTATCCTGCCCCTCCGCCTGTCAAGGCATGGCATGTGCCGCTGTTCACGGTCCGCTACCAGACCTTCATGGACGAGAACTGGGATCTGACCATGCAACGGGTACGTTCGCACCTGCGCCTCTCACTACACCCCAGCCAGCTGAACTTCACCTCCAGATCGTCCCACACATCAATGGCGTCAATAGTGTACGGATAATTTCGATCCTTGCCGATACTGACTTCTCCCTGACCTGCCGCGCCATTCGTCATCTGCTCTACTACGGTTGCCTGTTCCTCCTCGACATCTTCTCCTTCTCGGCCATCTACGCCCCAACCGCCCAATTCAGCTCCACAATTGCCACAGACGAAGAAATGCAGCAGGAGTGCGCCCGCTACGTCAACACCGTCTTTGCCTCCCCAATCACCGCTGCTTCGGCCGCCCTAACCCCGGGCTATCCCCCGCATTACGATCCCGACACCGTCTGGCCCCCAGTCGGTGACCCTCTCACAACCAGCAGCGCCAGCGAGATCACGATCTCCAGCCGCAGCCCTAGTCGAACCCCCAGCCCGAGTCCTAGCGCGGGCACCATCCAAGCCAGCAGCAGCAGAACCACGTCTCCCGCCCCAGGAACAGCCACCGACGACGACACCGCCACTACTACAGACATACATCCCACCGAGCCCCAACTCGTCGACGGGGTCGGCATCGTTGAACTCTACGCCAGCCTGAAACAAGGCCAAAGCATCAAACAATGGTACCTCCAACACAGCCGACAACTCGCCCACATCGACATCCGCCGCTTCATCACCTTCGGCGTCATCAAGGGCTTCATCTACCGTGTGCACAAATATGCCGTAGCAACAGGAAACCCAGCACCACCCATGAAATCCTCTCACTATCATCACCACAGCTCGCCCGCATTACATCCGCCCAGCGGCCCATCATCGCGGGGGCCCGGCACAGGCACCAACAGTCCTTACGCCACTAGTGCGGGAGACGACCCGGCCCCGATTGCACAGCACGATGGTGGACCAAGCCATCACTCAACCTCAGTATATAGTGGAAGTCGACCGGCCACGATCGTGACCCTCGAGGGTGAGGAAGAGGAAGATGACATTGATGATAAGACGTTGTCGAAGTATCTCGATGGGATGCATTGTTTCGATCAGATCTGTACGGAGTTGGAAATTAGTGAGAGGGAGTTGACGGCGCGGTTGAAGAGGTTTCCAGGGGAGGTGCTGATACTGCATCGATGATTACTACCTCTGCTCCTTTCCTAGCTTGCTTTGTTCATGTAGATACCCGATTTGCTAAATTTATTACTAACCAATATACATTAAATACGCCTGTATCAGTATTTAATACGAGTCACGAAGAAGAGAATCACAGTAATGAAGTAGAGTGCTAATAGTCCTCGTTAATACCTATTCTGTATATATGAATCCAGAGATCTTCCCAGCTGATATGCTGACTATATTTACGTCTTGGAAAACGTCCCGATCATATCCATCCATCCTTCCAGTCATCCTTCCTCAACGCCTTAAACCCAAAATTAAACCAAAGGGTAGATCACCTACTCAACCATCGCTAAGATATCAGCCAAATAAGGAAGCCAGAAAAAGAAACACAATATGTACATCGAATCAGAAACCAAGATAATCGGGCAGAATGGTAACAGGTTTCGATCGATCGATCAATCCTGTTCCTCATCCCACCCTTCCACCTCGGCCTTCTCAATCTCAGCCATCAAAGACGGTTCGAAGACCGACTCATTTTTCCCAGGCACACTAGTCTTGCTATCCTTGAAGACAAGTCCGATACAATCGCGCCACCGCTTACGTCGATCCATAAGCGTCCGGGCAACATCACCAATCGCGGGGCGGCCAACACCTGCAGCACTGACGACATGGCTGCCGCCGCCGGCGCCACCGGGACGGTGTTTGGCCTGGGAGCCCTTTTTGCTTTTTCCAAGGGTGCGGGTGCGTTTTAGGTAGGCCTGCTGGACCTGGGAGTCCAAGTCGTCGTGGATGGTCATGTACTCCTGGTAGGCCATGCGTTCGCGGGCGATGTCGAGGAGACGGGTTTTGCGGGCGCTGTTGATGATCATTTGCTTTTTGAGTTCGCTTTGGAGGAGACGCAGGCGTTGGGCGATGTCATCGTCGTAGTGGGCGTCGTAGTCTGGGTTGTCGTCTGGGCCGAGGAAGCCGACGTGGCGGAGTTCGGCTTTCAGACGCTCGTCTAGCTGGGCGTGGTCGAGCTTTGCGGCGGGGACTTTGAAGTTGTTCGGGGAGGAGTCGGGGAAGGCGGTTGCGGAGGGGAGGGGTTTGGTTTCGTTGGAGGCTTCGCCGGTTGGGTGGTCGATGTCCATGGAGTCGGGGTTCATGGGCCCGTTCGCCATGTCGCCGTTGACGGAGCCGTTGGCGTTGGGGGCGGTTTCATCGGGGAGAGCTCGATGCTCGTAGCGTAGTAGTGAGTAGAGTCGGCTGACTAGAGGGCCGACGGAGACTTTGTCGGTTTCGACCGTCTCGTCGGTCACTTGGTCGATGTTTCCTCTGCCTTGGTTGAGCGGTAGCCGCTCTTTATCGCCGTTGGGCTGGTCGACATTCATGAGTCCGTCGTCCTCAGCCCATACGTCGGTGTAGTGTTTCTTTCCGCGTCGAGGCATGATAAACGGGGTCGTGCGATCGCCCTGGGTCTGTTAGCGCTAGGTCGTAGCGAGATCGACCGGAAGGCTCACCTTCTCTTTGAGAAACGCTATGTCTTCTTCCGTCAACGGGCGGACGTATGGATCGATATAGGCTAGGAACGTATTGGCGTTGACTTGACTCGCGGGCTTGGAGCTGCTGAAGTCTCGATCCGGAGGGGAGCCCGCCATCAGATGGCTCAAATCACTCCAGGGGAAGCGGGCGACGCTGTAGATGGCCTTTTTCTCCTCATCGGTCATGTCTGGAGTAACTTCCCGGATGTGATATATGGTTGGGTCGTCGAATTTGAGCGGGTTGGGGCCGAACACTTGCACCTGTGGCACGGCCGGCGCGGGCTCAGGTTGGTGTGAATCAGAGCTATCGTCCGACCCAGGCGACCCTGCATCCTCGGCGTCATCATCGGCAGCTGGCTGGGGGGACTTTCGCAATGGGGGGGATAACGATGATGCCTCTTCGGAAGCAGCGTTCTTGGACTTTTTGGAAGCTGGTGATGCGGCTGCATGAATTAGCATGGCAGGAATGGATGGGCAGGATGTAAAGGCGCAAGTAGCAACGCTTCATCGCAAAACGGCGAATGATAGACTCACCTCCTTCTACCTTGGTCTCAGCACCATCCTGTCGCGCAACATCATGGGCACCGTGAGTTAGCGGACGTTCCTCCTTGGAACTGCTCCCGCGTTCCTTGCGCCTCTTCAGCTTGCCTCCCTTCAGTACCTTCTCTTCCTCCTCATCATCGGCTTCTCGCTTCATCTTCACTCGATCAGCCCCTTCCCGCTCGGCTGACTCCTGCTCTTCGACGACCTCCTTACGCTTCTGTGATAGCTCTCTGATGCCGGCATTGCATGCGTCGCCTCGCGTTTCGGCTAGCTGGCTCAAAGTCTTGAGGTGTTCCATCAACAACTCGAGTGACTTGGAATCGGGGATCGGGCCAACTCCGCCCATGCGCTCGAGTAGTTCTCCATACTGGATGGTCGAGCCGGTCATCATCAACTTGGAGACATCATTGTCGAGGTAGCTGTGGAGCGGGGCGGAGGCGGTCGGGCCGGCGCTGAAGCTGGAGTTTGGGGTAGTGTTGCGACTTCGGGAGGGGCGAGCTTCGCGGCCTTTGCCTTTGCCTTTGTTTGCGGAGGGCATGTTTGAGGTGGGGATTTGGCAGGAAGCTGTTGACGGTATGCGATGCGCGGAGGAGTTGCTAGTCTGAACTACTATGCATTATTTGCACCCTTTGTATCAAGTCATGTGATATTGCCTACACGTGAGATCACATGTCCTATCACGTGGAGACGGGCATCTCGAGATCAGCATCTCCAACATCACCATCAACAAGAACAATCAGACTACTACTCAATTGAAACGGTGCTGAGCTTGTCTGCAAAGGCAGGAACGATAACTCTGAATCTGCGTGCTTGACTGAGCGCGGTGACTGCAGGCCCCCGATCCGAGCATGAACACCATGAGCTATTAGTTCACGCGATTCCAGACCACATAGGGCTCATAACCCGGAGGTCCCTGGATCGAAACCAGGACATGCTATCCAATTTCTTTTTCATATTTTTTGTCCATCGTCACTAGTCCCCACTTTTGCTACATTTTTCTTCTTCTATATACCCCATTCCCCATTTACTATCATTATAACCCTCCAAAGCATTTTCAACAACCCCCTAGAGCTACATAAGGAGTGATAAAAATAATTTACTCGCTGTTGTAGCTTTATTATCCGTGATTAAGATCACCGTACCAGCACGTGACGAGCTGGCCGCCCTTGAGGGATGCCAAGCCGGCCAACACGCAAAGGACGGGCGAGGCTCTCGACGACTGACCACCGCCGCGTTGCTGCTGCTGCATCCGATCATTACTCCCTGACCCCGTCGTTATTATATCCTCCATATCACCGACCCCCGGATTGCGCAGACTGGTCTCTTCGCATCCGTTCTTTTTCTCCGACCCTCCCCTTCACGTCAATCCTCCCCCTTCTTCTCACCTCCCCATCCGGGGGTCCTTGTGGCCGCCATGGCATCCCGTAGGTGTCCTTGTGTTGAACCCTCCCCCACATTGCTATACTGCTCCCATGCCCCTGTCCCCGGAATTCGATCGCTAACTGTCGCCCCCTCTCCCGCCTCTTATATACAGTCAAGCAGTTTATCCGGAACGTGCGTTCGGCCAAGACAATCGCCGATGAACGAGCAGTCATCCAAAAGGAGAGTGCGGCCATCCGTGCGTCGTTTAGGGAAGAGAGCCATGATTCGGGCATCCGGTTAGCATTGACACCGCCAACCTCTAGCAACACTCGAACCAGCTTCTCATTTATTTGCACAGGAGAAACAATGTGGCTAAGCTTCTGTATTTATTCACCCTCGGTGAACGGACACACTTTGGTCAAATCGAATGTCTGAAGCTACTGGCCTCCCACCGTTTCGCCGACAAGCGCCTGGGATACTTGGGGACGATGCTGTTACTGGATGAGAACCAAGAAGTTTTGACGCTGGTAACAAACTCATTGAAGAAGTGAGTCTGTATTCAAGGTCGGCTTAGGGTCTCCTAGCTAATGTTTTGCAGTGACCTTAATCACTCAAACCAATATATCGTCGGCTTGGCCCTGTGCGCCCTGGGCAATATCGCCTCCGTCGAAATGTCTCGAGACCTTTTCCCCGAAGTCGAAAACCTAATGTCTACTGCAAATCCCTATATTCGGAGGAAGGCGGCACTGTGTGCTATGCGTGTATGTCGCAAGGTTCCCGACCTGCAGGAGCATTTCCTGGAGAAGGCAAAGACTCTTCTGTCAGACAGGAACCATGGTGTTCTGCTGTGCGGTTTAACACTCGCGATTGACATGTGTGAAGCTGAGGAGGCGGAAGAAGGCCAGGAGGGGGTGATCGAGATGTTCCGGCCGTTGGCCGGTGGTCTTGTGCGCTCCCTAAAGGGGTTGACCACCTCGGGATACGCTCCCGAACATGATGTCTCCGGTATCACCGATCCCTTCCTGCAAGTGAAGATACTGCGCCTTCTCAGAGTACTAGGAAGAGGGGATGCGGCGACCAGCGAAATGATCAACGACATTCTGGCCCAGGTGGCCACTAACACGGATTCGACGAAGAACGTCGGCAACGCTATTCTCTACGAGGCTGTCCTGACCATTCTCGACATCGAAGCTGATTCAGGATTGAGAGTGCTAGGTGTTAACATTCTTGGAAAGTTCCTGACCAACAAGGACAACAATATTCGTTACGTTGCTCTCAACACCCTGAACAAAGTTGTTGCAATTGAGCCCAATGCCGTCCAGCGGCACCGCAACACCATTCTGGAGTGTCTCCGTGACCCGGATATCAGTATAAGAAGACGTGCCCTTGATCTCAGCTTCATGTTGATCAATGAGAGTAACGTGCGTGTTCTTGTTCGAGAGCTGCTCGCTTTCCTGGAAGTTGCCGACAACGAGTTCAAGCCAGCCATGACGACTCAAATTGGTATCGCTGCTGACCGATATGCCCCCAACAAACGCTGGCACGTTGACACTATTCTGCGAGTACTCAAGCTTGCTGGTGCCTATGTTAAGGAGCAGATACTCTCGTCCTTTGTTCGCCTCATAGCCACCACACCAGAGCTGCAGACCTACTCGGTGCAGAAGCTTTATCTCTCATTGAAAGAAGACATCTCCCAAGAAGGCCTTACCCTTGCTGCTACCTGGGTCATTGGCGAGTACGGTGATAACCTTCTCCAAGGTGGTCAATATGAGGAAGAGGAGCTAGTTAAAGAGGTCAAAGAGAGCGACATCGTTGACCTGTTCACCAACATCCTCAATAGCACATACGCCACGCAAACAGTGGTGGAATACATCACTACAGCCTCTATGAAGCTTACCGTGCGCATGTCTGATCCAGCACAGGTTGAGCGGCTCCGTCGCTTCCTCAGCAGCCGGACTGCCGACCTGAGTGTTGAGATTCAACAGCGGGCTGTCGAGTACGTCAACCTGTTCGGCTATGACCAGATTCGTCGTGGAGTTCTCGAACGCATGCCCCCGCCTGAGATACGTGAAGAACAAAGAGTCTTGGGTGCACCGACCAAGAAACGTCAAAGCAAGATCCTGAAAGACAAATCCAAGAAGCCTGCCAAGCAGGCTGAGCAGGACATGCTCCTGGACCTCATGGGCGGCGATGCTCCACCGACCAGCCCGACTACCAACGGTTCCCAAAATACGGCTGATCTCTTGGCCGATATCCTCGGCGGCGATTCCAGCTTATCGTCACCTTCTCCCCAACCTGCGCAGAAGGCAGCAGGATCCACCAGTACCAGCGCTATCATGGACTTGTTCAACACTAATGGAAGCACGCCCTCTCCCAAACCTGCGGAGCCTGCATCTTCAGGCTTGGATCTTCTAGCAGGCTTGGGCTCTTCTGCCTCTCCCGCACCCACTCCTGCGCCGTCGGCGACTCCTGCTCATACGGCCTTTAACAAGAACGACCTCTCCCTTGCCCTTCAAGTCCAACGTGGTAGCGGTGGAAGTGCGCAGATTCAGGCTCGTTTCCGCAACACTTCAAGCTTTGGCCGCTTCTCCAATGTTGGATTGCAAGCAGCCGTGCCCAAGAGTCAGAAACTACAGCTAAGCGCGATCAACAAGGCTGATCTCGATGCTGGCGACGAAGGTATCCAGATGCTCAAAGTTGCAGCACTCACTGGGGTAAGTCAAAACCAACCGCGCCCTTTCTAATTGCCTTTGACTAATGTCCTGCAGGCCCTCCCACCTAAGCTCCGCCTTCGTCTCCGTATCACGTATGCCAAGGATGGCTCTGATCCTGTAACAGACCAGGTAGACTGGACCGAGCCGTGAACGGTAACCAGGGCCTTACTTTCATGAATCCTTATATTCGCCTTACAGTAACCTTTTAGACCGCCCATCTAATTTTATTTTATCAACCCAATTATTGTACTAGGAGGGAGGATGGAAGCAAGCAAGCCAACCAACCCTTGGGAAGAGACTACCAGCGGGAAACCAACACCTACTTGACCATTCATAGTTCCTCACATTACATACATGCATGTTCATACATACCCGGTCCATTTCTAGCTCTCCGTTTTCAGCATTTCTTCCCTTCGCTATCATGTCTTCTTCTTGCCTTCTATGTAAATGCTTGGTATGTTGCTGAGGCCTAGGAGTGGCCGGTTCCCCCATATGTTGGGGTCTAAAATGAAAATGTTCCTGTTCTCTTTACCACATTTGTCTCCTACTAGTGATAAATGTAGCTCGACTGTCATAGTCAACCAGTAGAAGTAAGGTAGCAAGTACTAATTCAGCAACCACCTTGCCATGCTCAACATATCGACGACGTGGGCTCAGTCACTCCGTCCTGTTCAGTCATGGACACCCACTAGTAGTACGCTATAGTATATACTCTACTACTGTAATATGAAGACAAGCCAGCACAGCAGGCCTGAGAACAGCACACACCACTAGAATTAAACCCTGAAAGCCAGAAGTGGAAATGATGAACTCAAAACGGTACTATATATCTCGGAGTTAGAAGAATTGCCATCGCGGCGTTAAAAACAAATGTCCGGTGAGCCGTTTGTTTGCGCTTCAGTGATGCCTTGCAATCCCCAAACTACCATGATTGTGACTATGACTGTACCCAAAGCCGGGTGAGACAAAGGATTAGAAGTTCCACACGTCATCGATAATAGGAATGAGGCAAATCGACAGGGACCGGCCATCTATCACAGACAGCTGCGGCCTCCGATGCACTCGTGCCTAATGAGCAGTGCCGGGGTCAAGGAAGATTTCATCAGTCTGAAATGCGAGATGTGAGACATTAAGCTTTTGTTTGATAATGCTGGTCGGGAAGATAACGGTTGATGTATACGGTAACTAGTAGTAGTGATCGTCAATCTTTTTCGGTGTTGAACTTTCCTTTGCTTCTTCTTCAGCGATCTCTCCTTCTATTTACCCAGGTCTGGCTTCCAGGCGGGTTTTGCAGGGCGCGTATATTGACCAATTCGCTCGAAGCGCTTATGCGTCGAAGAGGATGGTGTGGCTCGGATGAGTTGGCCTCAGTGGGACAAGGCGTCTAAGCTGCAGCCGACCGGATTAAGGCTGCTTGCTTCGCCCAAGTTTGATCGTCTCTACTGATCACATTGTCCAGGCACAAGGACGCCTACAGCGTTTTTTACTGGCTGCTTCATGATCGCCTCAGGCAGTAGATAAGTGATTGTGATGTGATACTTGGCGGTCATGGCTCCTGAGTACTGGGCTAAGATCCTTCCCTCGTTGTAACTTTTATAGTTCAACAAGCAATGCTGGTGACTGTTGGGTATGAATCGGCAAATGTATTGATAACGTAAATGAAGTACTTGGTGGATGCCTTTATCCTTATCCCCACCATCTTCTGAGCGTTGGGCTGCAGAGGTTCCACTTAGCAATCTCGCCTGATGGCAACCATAAAGTAGGCTGTTTCACCTGAGGAAAGGGCTTCGCAAGGTGGTGTGAACAGTAGCTATTACCTGTTTCTGGACAGTTTTTATGCAGTCATCCTCGACTGCTTTGTTTGACGTCTTGAGTCCAAGATTGAAGGATTATACATTGATGCCTGATATGACACCTGCTATCCGGTCCACACTCCAGGCGGGATTCTACGCCTATGCATGACCTTGGTACATTTGACTATGCAGTGTCAGCCAGGGCTTCAACGCCTCTTACTCCAATTTGCTAAGGATTTAGATTGTAGATCGTTCCAGAAATTGCCCATAGTGCAAGCTTATGGTATGTCAGATCAGATAGATGCAGGATACAGAACAGCGGGGGCCATAGCCTCGCTTCTGGGGGAGTTTACACTGAAGACGGATGAGCTCGGAGATAGCCATGTCTGAAAGTCACTATCTTTCAGACGCTCTGTAGTATATTCGCGACAGAGTGACTCGAGAAGATGTATCCCATTGTAGATCGCATGGTTCATCACCGACAACTTGATGATGACGATGTCAGGCCGACATCACGTGTAATACCGTATTGTGACCCCCCTCATCTCCCCTCACCCGCCGTTCAGTGTCTGCACCTTTCCGAAAACAGACCAATACCTAAGGATACCGCGTAAGGGAAGCGTAATAGAGTCCTGAGGCCATCAGCAGCGTCGCGCGGTTCCTCGTTCTTTCTGTCTCTCGCTCTCTCTCTCTTCCTCCTCTTTCTTCCTCATCATTCTCTTGACTGAGCAAGCAAGCAATCAACGCTCATCAATCGCGATTCCATTAGATACAGCATCATCATCAGTTTCATCCATCGAGTCCTCTCCGTTGGAGGAACACCGTTTATATCTAGATCTCCGTTCGATCTCATTGGTGTCGGGGGACTTTCTCGCAACAACCAGTGATCGTTGCTCGCCTTGCCAGGGACTTCTGGTTCGCCAATTGATTGCTGCGCGCATCGCGGCCGTCCCCAGTAATACCTGCCCTACGACCATTTGCCTGCTCTCTACTGGACGGTAAGCCAATAACTCAACACGCCCCATCCATCCCCAGCGTCGTGGGCCACCGGAATTTGATCCAATCGCCTGGTCGGTCGCTCCCTCTTTAATTGTTGGTTTTGCTGCTTTTCCCAGCTGCGCAACGTGCCACACTGCCAGTCTGACCCACGGTTACTTCCGTGTTGCATTACCCGCGTCACATCCCGCCCCGACTGTTCCCAGATCTTCCGCGCTGGAAACTGTCAAGTGCGCATGGCTTGCTGACGTGACCACTCCTGCAGTCGCGCGCGCGCCCCCTCTAAACTCCCTCCACACAGAGCCACAGGGGCTTGCCCAAAAAAGAGTTTCCAGGTTTCTGGGTGCTGTATCCTCTTCACTCTGGCTAATCAAATCAGATCCGTCCATTTAGAAGAAGAAAGAAAATAAAACAAAAAGAGAAAAAAGACATACGAAAAAGAAACGCGCAGGAAATCCCAAGAACAGACAGGCAAGACAGATTTAAAGTACTTTAGAAACAATAACAAACAGAAACGCCTGCTGCGACCACAAACCCCCCTCCACCCTCGTCGAATAATAGATCCCGCCGGTCCTTGCTCACGACGCTAAAGCAGGACTATCGCAGAAGCATTGCCAATCCCCCACACGCGCAACTACGCCCGTCTTTCCCCGTTCAGGCTGTCGTGAAGCGAATCGCTGCCCAGCCAGACGCACCCTCGTTGTCCTTGGCGCGGCTGTATCATAGCGCGCGAGATCGAGAATCCACCGCGTGCTGCACGCAGCTCTGACGTGGTTTGCCAACAGAGCAGTTAGAGACAAGCCCCCGTTCTAAATCCAGTATCTCTGCACGTTCTCAGAACAGCTAAAAATCATGTCGTCGACCTCTCCCTCGAAGGAACCGGAGGTGGAACCCGAAGTTCAATCGGGTGAAGACCAGGAACAAATGGATAAGGAACAACAAGACACTCAGGCGCAGGGTCAGGGAGAGTTCGAGGTGAAGGAGCAGGATAGATGGCTACCAATTGCAAATGGTTAGTTACGTTCCCTTGCAGCTTTCTCCTTTTCTGATTTGCGCGTACCTTACGTTTATCTGCTGGTCAACCGCCTCTTGCCCTACTATGGTGGTTCACCCCCCCCCCCCCCCCCCCCCCCCCCCCTTCAACCACCCCCTAGTTGCTTTATCTGATCATATCCGCCGGCTCTTCTGTATATTTTTTTGTGACTTGGATTTTCATGGCTCGGATATAGCCTACCTTGGCCCTTTCATCGTTCGTCTTCTGGTTGCTCGCACATTACCCATCATAGAAGCTCGCATACTCCCCCCGATGTCTGGAAGTAAAAGACGCCTGATCACTTTCATCTATGCTTGCGACTCCCGCATTTATCACAGTTGATACCAAATTAGGATACTAATGTTGCAAATCAAGTGGCCCGCATCATGAAGCTGGCTTTGCCTGAAAATGCCAAAATCGCAAAGGAGGCCAAGGAGTGCATGCAAGAGTGTGTGAGCGAGTTTATCTCATTCATCACTAGCGAAGGTTGGTGCGACCACACCTGCTCTACAAGCTCTTTCACTGACGGAGTCTCGCACATTTGTCCGTAGCCTCCGAGAAATGCCAGCAAGAAAAGCGCAAGACCGTTAACGGGGAGGACATTCTATTCGCCATGACCTCCCTCGGGTTTGAAAACTATGCAGAGGCCCTTAAGATTTACCTGTCCAAGTATCGCGAGGTGAGACCTGTGCAACGTCCCCAATCATGTTGCCTCTTTTTCGTAACAGGCGACATTGAGTTTCATGACGTATCCGGACGCTAATGATTCCTCTAGACCCAATCCGCCAGAGGCGAGCACCAGAACCGTCCAACAAGCAGTGGATATGGTGCTGGCGCGCCCGTAGGGGCCCCGGGACCTGCCGGTCCTGGTGGCCGTCCAATGGCACCAGGTGCAGGGTTTCCTGATGCTGCTGACAGCGCCAACAACATCATGAACCAAAGCTTGGACCCGTCTGAGCAGGACACTTCCGCTTATGGCTACCCCCCGATGGTCGGCCAGCCGCACAACGGCACCGCTGGTGAATCTTATTAGTATGCTATTGTGCGGGAGAACCATCCGCTGGACTTGACGACTATCCCACAGCAAGGGTCTTCTTCGGAATCGAACAAGAAGAGATTCGAACATCAGCCTCACCTCACACCCACAGAGGCTAGATGCCCCTCGTCTCCAGCATGAAAAGCGGCTGGGATCACAGGCCCAAGCGATGAACGTTCCCGGATGTTACTCCCTGTACAGCAATCCTAATAAAGCGGTACGATACGATGGGTTACTTACGGGATATTAACGGAACGAATACGAATCAAGCAATACGACAGGATTAACGGAGCCGAGAGATAGTTTTACTGATTTGGTTTGTTTTTGCTTCTGATTCTTCATTTTCTCTTCTACAATCGGCTAGAGCACCAGCCGACCTGCCAGGCCCACTTGGCGCCTCAGTCACCTTCATATAACCAAAGCAAACCTCTCAACATCAAGCCAACCAAGAGAGAGGCTGTCATATATTCTCATGCTTACGAGTACCAATATTTATCTGCGCGTTATGGTGACCAGAGAAAAGGGTACTCCCACCTCTTTGCTTGGGCCAGTTACATGTAATTATTGTCTGAGTTGAGTATCTATTATTGTGTGTCTTTGTCATTGTTTATGCAGAGTATGGGATACTGTTCAGAAGAAGAAGACAGGAACCTGACAAATAGAACACGGATTGGACTTCACTGTCCCCTGACAGAAAAAATCACGTGGTTGCATTTTAACCGTAGAAGCCAAGTCTTAAGTTACCGCTAGATAAATCCTGTACGACAGACAATAGTTCATGAATGGCTCACGCTGTGTAACGCTGAACCCCCTTATTACGTACTCAACAAAAACGAGCTATCCACCATATAAACAACGGGACGATAGAAAGAAAGAAGAAGAAAAAAATCAAACACAAAAGGTCATCATCATAGTCATCATCATAGTAATAAAATGCCAATCTAAGCAACCAGAGAAAGATACCACGACTCGCTAAATCAACAGAGAACCCAACCGCACGTTCCACGCACGTGGGGTATGATGTGAAATTTATCCATGCATCCACCCCCCATCTAACAGAAGATCCGACATCGGAGTCTCTTGCCAGTAGATCTGACGCCATTCATCCTCTAACTCTGGTAGCCCTTCCATGGCCATAGGCAGCACGGGCTGGTCCAGATCCGTGAAGGAGAAGAGTTGGCGCCAGTCGAGAGATTCGCGGGGCGCGTCGGCGTCGATGGCGTCGACGACGGGGGTCATGGTAGCGGATGGTGGGGGTGGGGGGATCCAGGCGTCTAGATGGTGATGTTGTTGGGGCTCAGATTGAGGTTGAGGGTGGCTGTGGTGAGGGCTTGTTGGGAGGTGGTTCGTGGAGGAGTCTGGGGTGGGGACTTCGAAGGGAAGAGGGCGGTCTGTGGGGGTTGGGTTGGGGGGTCTTGGTGTCTGCATTGCTGTGGGTGCGGAGGTGGAAGTGGTGGTGGAGTGTAGGGTTGTTTTGAGTTGGTCTTGAGGGTTGCTGAAGCGGCGGGGTGGTCGTTCGCTGGTGGCCATTCGGAGGTCTTCTTGGAGGCGTCTGGAGTCTTCGAAGAGGCGGAGGATGGTGTTTGCGTGGAACCAATAGCTTGCTAGTTCGCGGAGGGAGTAGGAGGCTGAGTCGAAGCGGCGGAGGGCGTTGATTGCTAGGACGGGGTTGGAGAAGCGGAGTTCGACGCGGACTTGGATCATGGCTGTGAAGAGGGTGTGGACGCCGGAGTACCAGAGGAACTTGAGGCGGTCGTTTAATCGGAGTTCTTCGAAGATGGAGGTGATGACTCCTGCGGCTGCGCTGCAGATTTCGGCATCATGCGGGCCGTAGTCGTCTGAGTAGGCGGATGCTCGGGGGTGTGGGCGGTGGAGGAGGATCAGGAAGTTGTTGTAGGTGAGATGGAGCATGGCGGACCAGGGGTCCATGTCGGACGCGCGGAGACGTAGTTTATCGGGCAGCTTCAGGGACCAATTGGCGAGGGCTTCGTCGGCTTCTAGGAGGACGGCTTTGCGACGCTCTGCGCTCACTCGTAGTCCGAAGCGGCTTCGAACGATGTACGAGATCATTACTGAGAGCTCAGTGAAATGGATCACGTAGTCGGATTGGACACGAGGTCCGCAGCCCTCGAAGTCAGAGATTGTCAATGGAGACACGTCGGAGTCTTCTAGGTTTCTGTTGTAGGAAGCAGTCAGCGGCTGATTGGGAGGGTGAGGAGGGGGCTATCTGCTTACATTGCCTGCGGTCGACCATACGAAAGTGATACCATAACGTCGAATTGCACTATAATGTGCCATAGCCTCCTCCACATCCGGCGATCACGGGAGACAAACCGGCTAGAGATAGGATTTCGGTGCATTCCGAGGCCCGTAGCAATCCTGGCAGCTACACCCACCCAGTAGTGCGCATTCGCTGCGACATCATCGTCGGCACCATCCGAGTGCCAAGTCAAAAGTAGAGCAGCTTGCACCAGGATATCGCGATTACGCTCAATCCGTGAATCAAACAGCCACTTGGCACGACGGAAGAAAATATCCTTGAGGGCATCGCGTTCCGCTTTGGGACGAGTGACATGGGCTCCCACTAGCAGAATCGCTTGTAGCAGCAATATCGGGGGAGGATCAGCAGGGTCCCGGTTGCGATACTGCGCCATGAACAAGTCCTCGTCAATGATAGGATACCCTGGGTTGACGTGGTCAAAGTAAGCTTGCACCAGTTCATCTGCTAGGGCCGGTTCAGGCAAAGTGAGAGCATCCATGAGGAGCTGATCATGGCCGGTCCTTAACTGTCGTCGCGGAATCTCATTGCCTGCAAAGTGATAGACGTCGTCATCCTTGTCGCGTTGCTGACGGATCAAGAAAGACATGTTCGACAGCTCATGGCCCACGTATATAGCTCGCACACCCCGACGAATCTCCCGACTGCCCGATTCTTCCTCATCGATGAGCTTCACTAGTCGTTTCTCCAAATCCGCGTGGGAGTCTGATTCGGCCGAGACATCCTGGCCCGGGGGACGGTTATATGTCGGAGATTCTGCAGCTGACCCGGCGCCATTATGGGGAGGGTGGTGATTAACATTATGATTAAGCGTTTGATGGAGATTATGAAGACTTGATGCGGGATGTGCGACAGGCGTTGTCACTTCCGGTTGGACGCCGCGAAAGGTGGTGGTGAAAGCGTCAGGTGGGGTTGTAGCCGTGAGAGGCAGAGAGTGTCTGTGTGTAGGCTCAGAAGAAGCAGGAGGTGGTCGACAGCGGATCGGAACGGGGTCGAGGATTGATCGCACAGCCAGACGCTTCTTCTTTTCGTGAATCCGACAGTCGGTCTTTCCCGCGGAACGGCAATTGGAGCATGGGAGGCCGACGATGCGGGCATCGCATCGGACTTTGCGCCGATGGCAGTGGACGCAGGCTGCGGAGCCTAGAGGGGAACTTCATCAGAACCATGAAAAGAATAGCAGATATATGCCAAGTCCCTCATAAACATTGCAGGGCGTACCTGACTTGCGCTTAGTCACCCCATTCCCGGCGGGTGAATGACTGCTGTGCGCTGCGGAGGTCATCGCCGAAACATCGACACAGATCCAAGGGTCCGGAGACTCGCTAATTCGTCATCTCTTATCCGAGAGATCTGAGGGAGAGAGCATAAGGTCAGATCAGGACATGATCTACCCACGGACAGAACGATTGGAGAGGAGAATGAAGAAGACGGAAAGAAGAAAGAGGAGAAGGAGGAGGAGAAATGCCAGACATGAAGAGGAGAAAAGGCGGGAAACTCGAATTGCTTTGCTCGGCATAGCTGTGATTGGCCGATAATGGGCAATCGAGTGGGGCTCATCCAGGGCGGGTCTGGGGGAGTCACGTGGCGGGGGTGCTGATCGATTCCATTGAATTTGCTTAAGACCTTCGATGCTTTTTCTCCTCGTCTTCTGGAAGCCTGTCATGATCCGCCGTTTGCTTGCTACCATCCTGCCCATGGTTACCTAAAAGCATACCTAGTCTAACTACCCACGCTCAGGACCCCCTCCATGTCTTCTGCCCTGCATTTGCGTGACACCCGGTGTCTTCTTCCGTGCGCTTATCCACTCCGGGGATCCACCCTGGCGTCAGCTCCGTTATCAGTCCGCCTATCGTCCATTCCTGTCTTTCTCACTGGACGGTTGGTGGAATTCCTTATCAACATACATTCTCGAGATAAAGTGTTTGACAAAAATGTACGGCTAAAGCGGAGTCATGGTCCTAATATTGACTTCTTCTGCATTGCGGACAAGTTGCCCGCGGGACTTTTCTAAGTTCACGCCAATTCGCATTCTATCAAGCTTTCCACTCCCTTTTCCACCGTCCAGATCTTGACTACCTTCAACCCCACAGATTCAATCAACGTAGTCCAGTGCTTCTCCGTCCGTTCCCCCGAGGCAATTGACATCATGATCATGTCAAGGCTAGTCGTCTCGAAATGCGCGTCGAGACTGGGGACAACATACTCGTTGATCAACAGCTTACTGTACCCTGGTTTCATGGCTGGGATAAGGTTGGACAGGATCTGACCGCACACATCGTCAGGCCAGTCATGTAGAACCGAATGCATATAGTACACGCGTGCTCCTGAACCTTATCAGCCCAGATCTTCAAATTATCAGAGTAAATGTTTCATAGACATACCTTTCACCGGCTGCTCCGTAAAGAAATCATGCGCCATTGGGTCAATGGATACATGCAAGTCCTTCACAGTTTCTATAACCTGAGGCAGATCCTGCACCACAAGGCGCCCAGCCACCTCTGGCCACTTCCGACGGAACTCAGATACATCGTGCCCGGTGCTACCACCCACATCAACCAAGAAGACGTCCTTCTCGCTCAGTTCGGTACCCTTAATTAACCGTTCCTGGACTGGGTAGAAGCCTTTGTCCATCCAGCTAGGTCGTCCCTGATGGTACACCGACATGTGGTTGCCGAACTGTTTGTTAAGGGTGGGGTTCTTTTGCACGCATTCGAAGAAGTGTTCGTCGACTCGCTGTCCCAGCTGGAATGGGGACTTGGTGGGATCGGTTGGATTGCGGAATCCAGTCTGTTTAAGAAAGGCAGGGATAGCGTAGATACCTGGGTATAACCAAGCCGAGCTGGGAATGGACATCAACGTTAGTAACCAGTCAATGGGCGCCTTGGTGTCACTCACAGTGCGGGGAAAGCATCTCCATATCGCTCGACACTTAGTGTGGTCGAGAGGTTCGTCGCGATGTACTCGTCAGGTCCCGCTTCAGTGATTACGCTCATAGATGCCAGATGTTTCATGATGCGCGCTAGGAGGCGTAAGTAAAACACAACTCTACCTACGCAATACATGCCACAAATGAAACTGATCCAACCAGTAAGTACTTACACAACAAGACTGGATCACTCTGTGTTATCACTGCAAGCTCTGCAACGGACTTTGGCTTGTCCCGAGATAACTCGCTCAACACACCTATAGCTAGAGCCGTTTCAATAGCAGCGTGCAGAGTAGCCTGCAGCAGAAACCGTTTGTTAGATCCCAGCATTTATGCACGTCAACTCATAATACAGTCCCAAGCTCTCACGTAACAGACAGGACTTACCGTAGTCCAGCACTGCCTGACAATCGCCTCTCGCGGGGTCTCCAGCGCATTAGCCAAGGATCTCGCAGCATCTCGTAGCCTTAACCTCTCCACCGAATTCTCCAGACATATGGATTTGTGGGACGCGATCTGATCGATGAGAGCCGGGACAGCATCCGGTGCATTTGGTAAAATGGCAATCGTATCCACGTTCACGTCCGACTTGGAAGGCCCATGGCCATTGGAATGGATGCCATTTGTATGGTGGCCATTAGTATGATATCCGTTGGTATGATCGCCATTAGTACATTGCTCAACAACCGTTGAGACGTTCGTATAAGTCATTTTGTAGTTATTGGGGGTATGCTTCGGGGTGAGTTACAGGGAATATGTAAGGGGTCTGTTCGAATGGCGCCATCTACTTAATAAGGTCCGGCAGTCGGACGAAACGAGCAGCCTATGTAGGCTTCTCGCCTTGCGCTTTTCCGTAGCACTACAAAATAGCCCGCACTATAATAACTTTATGACGCTTAGAACAAAATAGTTAGCCCCTATTGTCTTTTGTGCCTACTGTGGAGCTAAGTCAAAGAGATAGGCTAGCTGCTGCCACCTCCACTGGTCATTTATCTCACGTTCAGGCTGCCCACTCTGGTAGCCTGCAGTAGAGTCGCTAATGTAGCGGCGACGCCTGGATAGACTCCACTTCCTGGAGAGGGGTAGTAATGGCCCTGGTTAGATACTTTTACTGTCCCCGACAAATGATGGAAGTTCATACCAATGGAACGGCTAGGCCGCAAAAGACGCGGGCTACAAAAGGCAGGCTCATATCGTTGGAATTCACTGGCGAGAGACAGAGGGCCTACAGAGCTCCTTCTCCATGGTCTCACTGGACAAGCTCGCGCAGTGGATAACTAGACAGGATGATTTAGGACGGAAAAGCAATTTTGAGGATACCCACAAGTGAGATAGCAGCGGCAATATAACGCTGTGTTAGCCTCCCCGCCGATATTTTGTGGGTGTTCGAGACTGGACGGCGTCACTAGTTCCTTAGTGCAGCACTTCCACTAACAAGGTCACGGAAATAGCAATATAAATAGGCCTGGCTTATATGTAGACGGGGTTCGGGGATAGGCATCCGCTCATAAGATAGAGTCCCGCCCCGACGGCTTCGCACCAAAAAGCAAGTAGCGCACTCTTATAAATTCCAGTGCTGCGCCGTATCCTGAGACTAATTTATCTCAGTAGGCAGACTCCAGATAGGATTCGCGAGATAGGTATTGCGTAAGTGCAGAGGATCATACCGATGGCTCCCACAATCGCCAGAATCGAAGTTTGGAAAATTCTTTGATCTTGAACCAGAGGTAGCAGGCATCAGGGAAACGAGAAACTCCCACTCTTGCCACGGGTTTCAGAGAGCGTAGTACTGCGCCAGTACTGCTAGGAGCATCCGTATCTCAATAACAAAAGCGGAGGTGCCCCTGAGACGGACAAAGGTTGCTTTCAATTAATTATCACTGCGCCAACGGGACCGCTGTCTTGCAGGGATAGTTGCATAGCGCATGACACCACGCTTCGCGCCATTAACATCCATAGGCCCGGGCCTGCATCGTACTTTTGGACTGCCTTCGTGCAACTAGTCTATAGTTTGGTATCTGACGGATGATTCATTAACAGATAGGAAATGACTGAATATTAGCACCACGGTACGACCTTGTAGCAACAGTGTAGTTGGCTGTTGGGGAACTCTGCGGTGCCAAGAACATGGTGGATCGCCTGGGCCAGACAAGCAATTCTAGCGACTCTTGATGTTCAGCCTTAAATGTTGCTGTAGGGGGGGTGATATCCAGCCACATGTACTCCGAATTTGGGGGCGCTTTCAAGTTGCGCACGGATGCTATCATTTGATCGTCTATCTCAAGGAAGAAATGCAACCTCAAGAATCACCGATTAGTTGAGATACTTCATCGTACAGCTGCGATTTCTGTTATTAATTAATTTGCGCCCAGTAGCGTCCAAAAGGACAAAGAAGGCAGCGTGATCCACTAGGCCTTGTAGTATACGCTAAGGATAGAACGGTGCCAGATGGTGCGTGACGCCGGCGCCGTCGCTGGTGGAACCGGACTCCAGGCAGACTCGTTCGGAAGTCGGAATTGTGGGAAGGTCAAAAAGCTCGGTTTATATTGGGACCTGTTCTTTCATATGATTATTCCCTTCCTTGAACTGTCTCGACTAATAGACTAGTGTTCAAGCCACTAATCTCGATCTAGCAATGACCGTCTCCTGCTCATTCCAACACGGAACGTCTCTTGAACCCTGGAATGTCGGGCATGTTCCTTATCAGGGCTCAGCTCTAGGCTGAAATTGATGCCACGCTCTTGAATAATGCGCGGAAGTGCCATGCCCCCTGTGCTGCTATTGGTTTGCTTGCTTAGCGATTGATTGGGCAATCTCGATGGTGCCATCCATGATGTCTCAGGTAGTGGTAGCATGGATATTATTTCCGGTTGATGTTTCGATGAGTCTACATTACTCTGGATCTAGGCGTCTCGACTCTAGAGTCTAGAATTAGAATAATATAAAGATTGGAGAGCAAGGGATTCTCGACGAAACTCTGCGGCGACTTCGGATGCACGAGATGGTCCGTAACCGGCCTGGAAGTGACAGGGATTCTGTTGCACAGCTAGTGGACTAATTGACACTAGGGGAAAAGCAAATTATGTTAGAGTACAATGAAAGACTGTACGTAAACCCCTTAAGTTGGGCCTCTGGATAGCCCAAGTAGCCCAGTGAGCACGTTTTGCTGGAATCATATCAGCGTTGGACCTTCTGATGTTTGTGACATTCGACTACTTCACGCCAACGCACAGCTGTGGATGTTGGACACGGAGCGATGACTGCTGTATCTTCAGAATATGCCCACCAGACTAAGGGCCCACGAATATTGGCTGTCTTTTGGACCATGACTAGTCTTGCAATTCTAGCTGTGGCAGCCAGGCTCTTCATCCGTATCAAAGTCTTGCGCAACCCAGGTGCAGACGACTGGTTGATCGCAACGTCAATGGTAAGTCGATTATACTATTTCTCAGGTCCGACTGCCACAGTCGTCCTTTTTGCTGTACATTCTGACGGCTGTTAGTTTTTCAGCATATCATATTCTGTAGTAACCACGGTCGACGTCGCTCTAGGTTACGGAAAACATGCAGTCGTCATAGCAGATAGACTAGAACTCGTTCTGCTAGTCAACTATATCAACTTCGCCTTGGGCATAATCTCCTTCGCCTTACCCAAATTAGCCGTGGCTGCCCTGCTGAGCCGTTTTCTGAATCCGACAACGATACAACGCGCGATCTTGTGGGGATTGACGGGGTTTGTGGCACTGGTGTCGTGTATTTGCATCTTGGTGCTCTTTACCATGTGCGATCCAGCGAAAGCTCTTTGGGAAACGTCCCTTCTGTCAAAGGGCGCGAGTTGCCGGAGCTCGTGGATCCTTGTGGACTATGCCATCTTCACTGGAGGTATGTGCGACCATGATTCAATAGAAAGATAAGTCTAGCTTAAACAACGATAGCCATATCTGCCTTTACGGATCTGTATTTGGCAATTTATCCGACAGTCATCTTACTAAAGCTTCATATGTCGATGCGGAAACGATTGGCGTTGTGTGCAGCGCTGGGTCTGAGTGCAGTGTAAGCAAGAACTCAAGAAGCTCATCGTCATCACTATTAGCTAAGAAACAAGGCTATAGCGCTTGTGCAATGGCAATCATCAAGTGCATGCAGCTACCAGGTCTTGCCGATCTCAGCGATACGACATGTGAGTTGTCCTTGATGCAAAACTGTACTAAGGCCGGATGTTCACTGACACTATAGCAGATGCCACGGCCGACCTTGTGATATGGACAAGGTAAGCCACCATGTGTTACTTCGTGACACCAAGCCCTTATTGAGCAGCAATTCCGGATATTGACAATCTCCCGGCAGTATCGAATCAAACGTCGTGATCCTAGCCTCATGTATCCCCACGTTACAACCGCTTCTCGAAATAATTCTCGGAAAGCGCAGTCTGAGAAGTACCGGCGGATATCAGTACAAAGAGAGCAGTACCCAATTGCCCGAGTCTAACAAGTGGAGCAGCAAGCGATCTGGACACCGGAAAAGTAAAGGCAATATGATGATTGCAGACATTGGCAGCCAGGATAGCATCTTGCAGATAGGTGACGATCACGAGGACGAAAGCCATTATATGGGGCACATCCGTCGTACAGATAAAATCACTGTTGTGTACGAAAGTGTGACACCACAGCCAGGTGGTGCTGATAAAACAAATGACCCTGTAAAATAGGAGAGTTACACTGAGGGTGTTTCTGACATGCTTTTTTTTTTTTTTCTTTCTCCGCCTTCTTTGTGTGTTGGTCTTTCATTAAGTGCTTGTAGTTTTTCCATTGAATAGGCGCAAAGTTGTATGAGCCCCCAAAGATGTTTTTGAGAAGCTGAAGTGCTTCATCTAGAATAAGTTTAGACGCTTGCTATGATGATGTGTTAGCATGACGGTTCAACACTATCGAGCCTAAATGTTGCGTTGCTTTCATACCTTCATATCGCTACCACAACAAAAAATCCTCTATATGCGATTATGTACGTATGCAAGTCCAGGGCTAATGGTCTTGCATGTACCTCATGTTCCGCAGTTGTATTGATCATCCAAGAACGAACCTCTTCCAGTTTTCAGCGAGCTGCCGAACGCCTTGATGTAACTCCCACCCGCGGATATTGCAGATCTGCCTAGCAATTTCCTCAAGCAAGTCATCCATCTGTTGCCCAGCCGTATGCAGATCGCTCTCGATGAGTATTCTATCATCAGGCAAAGCCTTGATAACGTTGATGACCTTCTGTGACGAAGGTCCGCCGAAGTTTATCACAGAAGAGAAGGAGAAGTAGACGTCTGACGGATTAGATTGATGCAGAAATTGCTTCAATGGCTCCACCGGCCCGGAATAAGAATGCATGCAGATCCGTGGTGGGAATGGGAGAGACTTCTCATCTGACTTTGCAGGCTTCTGTTGCATTCGTTCATCCTCCGCATCGCTCTCTGCATGCGCATCTGGAACACTATAACGTCGGCGTCTCTCCCGTCGTGAGGCGTTCTTTCGCTCATGGCCAGACCAAAGGGCCTTAAAAAGGTCAAAGACCGCCCCATGAGCTTGAACGCTATGCACAGAAACTGGCCGCTGAAGTTCCCCAGCTAGCCGCAGCTGAGCCTCCAAGACGGCTTTTTGATGCGCCAACTGAACGCGATACGGCGAAAGCTGTCTACCTTCCCGAGATCCAGGGGTCATTCGCTCATCCCGAGTTTCTTTTTCCTCCTCGGTCCACGCCTTGGGAAGCCTAAACGCACGATCAAGGCCAACCTCACCCACAAGAGAACGAGGATACGCCAGCAACCGTGCTCGAGATTCCGACAGCAACTCTGACAGTGGCTTTGGATCAGGTAACGACAGGATGAAGTCATCATCTGGCTCTGGAGTAAGGACCTTCTTATAGTGCAGCTTCTTCAGCTCAATTGGTGAGGTACTTTCATCGGTCTTGGGCGAACCAGTCGTATCGTCGATGATTTGATGCGAGAACCATGGGTGCCAGCCAAAGCACGGTAGCACAGGCCCTGTCGCCGAACTTTGGGCGGACTCCTGACCCTGGGTCAAGGATGTAGCGGTCTGAAGCACCAAGTCCTGGTCCTCCCCGCGAGTGGACATGACTGTTAATGTCGATACTTTCATTTGGGGGATTTCCGCAATGGATGACATGGTGTCAGTGGGGTGACAATGGGCGTCGAACAGCCCCAAGTGCCAAGGAAATGCATCATTCTGATCCGTCTCAGACATGGTGCATGTGAAAAAGAATTGATCGGAAAGCCGAGGCGGAATTAGAGTGCCAAAGCGAAAAGAAAAATGATTCAGAGGCAGCTTGGGGATGTGTTGATTGACAAAAAGTCGGATGATGAATGGAGAGAGAGCTAAGCTGTGACGTAAGGAAAAGCCCGCCGATACACACGCGATACGTGGTGTAATGATGCCTTGGGCAGGCAACGGACATCGAGCATCACATGCTTCTTTGTTGTCTTGCTTCTCCGCATTTTGGTTCTGGGGATGCAGTCATGATTTCTATTCCCTGCATGGACACTGCAGGGCTATTCCTTCATACTATAGCCATGCCACTTGATCTCTATATATCTAGTAAGAAAATAAATATTTCCATGTATTCAACTCCCTCCTTCGATCTTCTATAGCCTACTTCATAGCTCTCTACTCCCCTCATCTTCATGTCCTCTATCTCCGCCTTCTTGAGTCTTCCCCTCCTCACACTCTTTTCCCTCCCTCTCGCCCTGTTGGCATGCTTCACCACCTTCCTTTCCATCATATTTCTCCTCCTACGCTTCTCTGTCATCTATATTGAGCTATGCCTTGCCATAATCACAAATTACTTCGTCATCCCAACAGCTGCCAACACCTCCCTCCTCAACTTCTCCGCATCTGAACCCACCACCCCAGCAGCCTCAACAACACCCAAGCGTCGCTCAGTCGACCACAGCTTAAACAATGGGCTTCTCACTGCCCTCGCAACATATCGTCCAGGCTACAATCCTCCCCGTCGAACAAACAGTTTAACCACCACAACCTCCACTTCCTCAACCTCCCAAGACACTACCACTGTCCCACTCTATCGCAAAGATGAACCCGCAAATAACGCTCCCTCTGCCCTCCTAACCCTGATCAGTGGCGACGAAGGCCGCGACTTTGAAGGTCTAGGCGGCTGGCGCTGTGCGACAACAGCAACAGCAGCAGCAGCAACAACCACAACAGCAAGATACCCAGCCCATCATCTCCTCTCAGACACCGCCTCCCCCTCACCAAATATCACCACCAGTGAATACGACGAGAGAGCATGGCTATCCATCAACGAGAGACTAGAACTCCCCTCCCAACCTCTATTATCTATCCGAAACAACAGCAACAGCAGCAACAGCGAAGCTCTCGAATCCCTCCCTTGGAGACATCGGCAAATGGCTTCAGCCAGCCCGCCTCCCGGAGGCAGTAATAACCTCATTCGCAGTCCCCGCCATCACCATCGTTCCGCAACCACCTCCTTACTATCCACTAGCCTGTCCCCTAGATCTTCACTGCCAGACGCCGTTCCCGACCACGGTCTAGACCATCCACAGCGTAGGGCTACCTCGCCACTACTATCACAACAGCAAAATAGTACGAATACCCTCTTCTGCACGCCCTCACCCACCGGGAAGTTTCCAAACGCATCGATCCCTCGGGTATCGAGCCCTACTGAAGGATCAGGGGGATATTTTTCCTTGCGACCCGGTAGCACGAGCAGCACGAGCGGGTCAACAACACCAGGTGAAGAGCGACGATCGCCTAGACCCTCGGCCAAGTCCATGGTGCATTACCCCGCGGGCGTGAGATATCGTCGGAGGAGTATGTCAGGGCCGAATAGTGGGGTGAAATTGACCAAGGCGTCGTCGGGCACGGAGCGGGCGTTGTAATTGATTTATTATGGAACATACTCATCTGATGGTGTTGATTGCGTGAGATATTTCTGAATATGGTATTCTTTACCTCATCAATTTTGGGTGGATCTGACAGCGTTACGTTTACATCGTCGTAGCGATTTACCAATCATGACACAGATATTTTCAAATTCTCTATGCTTGCCATTTTGTCATCATATGTCTACTTCTACCGTTAAGGTATATACATTCCACGTAGTCCATGATCGACAGATACTATTTGAGACATCGCCCGATCTTTAAATCAAAACCATCAATGTTTACTTGCTCCACAAAGAACAAGATTCACAAGCAAAATGAACAAAACCCGCTATTTGATGACCCAACGTAATAAACACCTCTTTAAACAAAAAAGAAGACTTTGGCCAAAAGAAAAGAGTTAGATTAGACTGCACAGAGAAAAAGAGCTCTATGAGGCGCGATTAGCTCTCTCCTTCTGAGCCACCTCCTCCATCTCAGCCAAAACGATGCGGTTGAAGTCTTCCCATCCGTCTAGATAGATATGATGGCCGGACCTCTTGATAATGACCACCTTAGCTGAGCCATTGTCCGCTTCGCGTTCCTCCACTGTTGCGTTTTGCAAGATACGCTCCTTCTCTTGATCCAACTTAGCCTTTGCGGCTAGCCCGCCCTTCACGTCCATCCAGTCGTGATCACCGTACATGAAGATGATGGGGAGACCGTTCTCGCGCTTAGGTGTCGTTGAGGGGGTCTGAGAAGGGGCTGAGTTGGCCGAGGAAGATTCAAGAGTAGATTGGGATGTGGTAGCTACAGCTGCGGCTTTCGCAGACTCGAGGACAGCAGATGCGGGTGACGGATTTTGCTGGATGAATTGACGACCGACGCCCTCGATGCGTCGGATTAGCGGACTGCGGGCGAATGCGCCCGGGGCGAGAATGTACGATAGAGCATACTCGCCGCTGCCGCGCATGCTGAAGATCGAATACGAATAGTCATGCAGAGATTTGGCCTCCTCTGCCGGAAGATGGGAGAAACGCCGGGATGTCCACCCGGAGACCAGACGCGGACCGAGTGGTCCCGCCCATCGCACCAGGCTGAAGGGGGAGATGTTGGCATCCCAAAGATAGGCGAACCACTTGGGAACCATGCGCCGGGGCGGCCGATCTTGGGAAGCGCCACTATCTGTAGGGGAACCCTTTAGCAAAATATTGTTATCGCCTTTCTGAAGCTCAGTTGGGGGAACCGAAGATGCAGATTCGGCGATATTGCGCTGGTTCTGAGTGAGCTCATTCGCCATGGTCGACTCGTTTGGCGCAGGCATCTCTGCCCGCACAGCGTACGGGTCCTCTGGGATTCCGACGGGGGAAGCAAGGATAAGCTTGTTGAGTCGTCCCGGATATTTGAGAGCGTATGCCACGGCCATGTAGCCTCCCAAACTATGACCAAGTAGTGTGAAACGGTCGATGTTGCGCTTGACACGCCACTCTTCCAGCGCATCCACGAACCAGGCTTCTGCTTCTTTGATGGCCTGCTCACGCTCCTTCGCTTTGATACGAAAGGGTGGTCGCGTACTGCGGCCCATGCCCAGGAGGTCCAGCGCATGGAGTTGCCACCCTTTCAGGCGACTAAGAGGCTCGAAATTTTTATAGAAGAACCCCAAACCAGCACCGTATCCATGAAGCATGACCAGATGTTGATCTGCTTCTTCACCAATCCGCTCGACAGAGAACTCGTTCAGAGCCCGAATCTTCCCGCTCAGCTCCACCATACTGGAGCGCCACATTCGGGGGCCGTATGGATCATTGGTAGAACTGGCTGATACCTCACCCTGCTGCGTTTGATCGGCGGACTGGAGACTGCCCGTCCCGCCAGAGACACTGCTCGTTTTACCGGTTTGTAGATGGGTTGGGGGTTGATGCTGGAGGTAAGGGAGGTGGGAAAGAACCCTGTGTTCGGCTGTGGCGGCGGGTAAAGACGCCCACTGGAAGAAAACCCAGTCTCAGTCACCCATGCGACACTTGACTTTGTTCCTCAGTAAAGAAACGTACCCATTGACTGAAGCCTTCCCTGTAGCCTAGGGGAAACCAGGCCAAGGGGGCAGGAGTTGCGCTGGCTCCGCGAGCTGCGTGTGGCGTACTCTCTCGGCGAGAAGCCACGGGTTCCTGGCTGCGGCCCCGAAATTCGCCGCTGGGCGAGTTGAACGACTCGGATGCCATCGTAGATGTAGACGACGAGCGTCTAGAATCCGTCGGTCGGGAAGAAGAGGAAATATATCGAGCGCTTTCAAACGAGGTCCAGGAACGTGAGACTGGGACCTGAAAAGAAAGCGAAGGGAGTCGCGCGGTCGACACCTTGTCGTCAGGAAAATCGGAGTGACAGAGGGAAGAGCTCTGTCACTCTCTCGGCTGCAACGGAAAAGAAGGAGTATTTAAAGATGGAGAAGGGGGAATAGATTAAATCCTCTCTTAGGGGGGGCGCAGTGGAAAGAGTAAGAAACAGGTCAGTGGAACAAAATGAGAAACGGTTGAGGCAACGCCAAAGACCGTTAACCCCGATCCGAGATGGAGTTAAGCAACAGGCAACCAATGTTGATGACGCTGATGGTGAGGACCAGAAAAACCTCAGAAAAGAATGAACAGTTCCTAACCTGCACAATTAAAGACCCTGACTGTCAAAAACAGTATATACTTGGAAAAGAGAGGCAGAGGATTGAAAGGGGGGGGGGGGAAAGAGATGAAAGTTGAGAGAAACTGAAAGTCCAGCGGAAGTGGAGCCTCAACCAAGTGTTGGCCGATGGAATGGATGACGATGCTTCACTCTTTCTTGTCTCTTCTTCTCCCTCTCCCTCTCCCTCTCTCTCCATGCCTCTCTATCTTCCTCAAAACCTCTTCTCTTTCCATGCGATGAGATAGCGTCGGGCCGCAAAGGCCAAAATCTACCACTGTGTTTTTGAATTTCACCTGCGATTTGAACCTCCGAGGTTAATTCTTGCTCCCTCTATTCTTTTCCGTCCAGACGAACCCGATCTCCCTGCCTCGCCTTTCTTCTTCTCTGGCTTCCACTCCAAAGCTCACCATGGCTTCAGCAAGCCTAGACCAACTGGTTAAGGGATCTCCAGCACCCAACAGTCGCCTTGCATCTTCTGCGACATCCTCCTCCGAATCATTGGCGCCTGCATTTCACTCCCATCCTCCCTCTAGCGATCCCTCTTCCCCGCCACGGTCGTCAACCCCCGATCCACTGTCGACCCTCCCCTCTTCCCCACCCCAGATATACCTCAATCTCCTCATTCTCGAGAGCTCCCTGCGAGCTCAGTACCTGGCTCTTCGGGAACGCCGCCGACAAAATACGTTTTTCCTTCTCTTGCTTGCCGCCTGGATCGCCTACTTTGCCTACGCGCTCTTTCTCCGCCCGCGCGAAGATGGCCGCGGCGTCGGAGGATCGGTCTACTGGGTGGTCGAAATGGGAGAAAAGGTCGCCCTGATGGGCGGCGTGGTCACTGCGCTCCTGGTCTGGGGAACAGGGCAATGGGAACGTGGAGTTCGTTGGCCGCGGCGCTGGCTCGCCGTAGCCAACCGCGGCCTCCGCACCATGAACACCAAGATCGTGGTCATCCGAGGTCCCTGGTGGCAGGAGCTTTTTTCCTACCTTTCTTTCCTATTTCCGTTCTCTACACCCTTTTTCCCGTCCCCCGTGGGCGATTTCCACTACGTCGAGCGCCCTGCGTCCGAGAGGCGTGGTAGTCGGCAGCACTACCAGCAGTACTACAACCACGACGCGGAATCAGGTCTGGTACAGGAAGACCTCAGCCCCGGAGGTGACTACATTCGACTTCTTCTACTGCCGAAGTCATTCTCGCCCGAGTTCCGCGAGAACTGGGATGAATACCGCAGCGAATTTTGGGATAAGGAGAATGATCGTCGTGCTCAGCTGCGCCAGAAGCTGCGCCAAAGGGAGCGCCAGCTAGTCCAGCAGGATGGCGGCTGGTTCTGGTGGTTCGGATTGAGTTGGAAGGCGTCGCAACGCCGACGAGTCGCTGCCGCAACGATCAGCCGACCCGGCGATGCTGACAAGGTCCAACATCGCTCCCATCACCACCACCATTCGTCCAGTATCTCAAAGCTCGCCCTTGAATCCAAGTCGCCCTTGCGGCGCGGTGGACCACGCTCTGAATCCCACTCCCGCACGCCGTCACGCAGCACTACCCCCGTAGACACCGACGACCGACCCCCGTCCAGGTCGTCCGTCAGTGGCCGTCCCCGCCGCGGAAGCACAAGTCCAAGCACTGAACAACACATCCAGCAATCACGGAAGAAGAAGGCATCCAAAGCCGCCACTCGTGGTCTGTCTCCTTTGACGCAGGCCCAAATCCGAGAGGGCGTGCGCACCCCATCCTTTTCATCCGACGACTCTTCTTTCATGGGCACTCCTAGCGAAAAGGAGAAACCCAAGGACGAGAGTGTTGAATAGCGGTTCCACCATCTTTATTTCCCTAAACCCATTCTGGTCTAATTTACCAACTTCTCCCCCATATGTCTATTGTCAATATTATACCCTTTGAAAGCACACCACGAAGACAAATACTATCTCATCTCGATGTACTTACCGCCGTCGTAGGGGGGGTTGTCGAATTGAAGCTCTTCTCTTCTCTTCTCTTCCATTTTTCCCTTTCCATGCATTGCCGATTTCTGCTTTATACATTTCGGTGTCTTTTTTTTCCCTCTTCCCATCTCCAATTGATTTCTCTTTTTAATACCCCATCATATTATAGCAGATTTATAGTGCATTTTACTCTGGATTTTTCCGTTCTTGGCATCAGAGGGTATATGCGGTCGACAGAGTGGGTGTTTCGCATCGCATCGCATCGCATGGTGGTTTCTTTTCCAACTTCCCCTCCCATTCGAAAAGAGATTAGATCAGGATCCGATTAGTCCTTGTCCTGAATAGTATATACACATGCATATGGGGTCCTTTTCTTTCTTTTCTCTTTCGCTCTTTTGCTCTCTTCACCGTACATGCACTCAATTGTAGCACAATGAGTGGTGGACAGGCTAGACTACTTAGTCTTAAGTAGGTAAACTCAAATCCCAACCAGTACCTGCGCCCCGGATGTAAGGGATATGCAAGATAAAGGGGCAACTACGGAGTAGTGAACAAAAGCAAAGGTCTAGGGGAGGGGTCTAAAAAAAGAAAGTATACTTTAGTGGCAACCCGTAGTCTAGACTACTATCTGAGATAATTCTCATGATGGCCTTAGTCCCGGCTTATCATAACATATCAGGAAGCCCCTAGTGTCAGGGTCTAAATAGGAAGTTGTTCCGTAGACATTGATATGTGAAATGTATGATGGATGGCATTTCGATAAAACTAGAGATGCACATTGAGAAGGGAATAGAAAATTAGAGACAAGTAATATAAACGTTGAGTATCCGAGACGCCGAACTATCCGTCAAAACAGGTTATATGTATTCAGGAAACATAGAGCCAAGCGTAAAGAAATCATGCGCATGAGTCAGCCGTCACGTAGGTATCCATCCCATTTCTCTAAGTCGTATAACGTGGTTAATTGAGTTTTTGTTCTTTATGATTAGATTCTGTAGACGGTTTCGTCTTCCTCAAGGTACCTGTTTCGCAGAAGTCATTAGCACTTGTGTCATGTTATGGATAGAAGGGATAAGGGGCATACATTAGTTCGTTCCTCTCGTTCATAGCCCTCAGGGCCTGGATTGCTTCTCCGCGCTGGAAGACGTGTGACTCGCCGAGCGAAGGTGTGCTGCGCAGCGCAGTGTTCACAGCTCCAATGAGCGATTCGACGTCGGCGGTGTCACCGTGGGTGAATAGTCGTGTGCCCATCAGGGGACCCAGTGCTTGCCTGAAGACCGTCAAACGAGCGGGCTGGATCGGTTCAGATGACACAGTAGTGTTCTGTGACTGCGAGTTGTCGGTCTGCGACTCGACGAGCTGTGACGCGGGTCGAGATGAAGCCACAGACATACGGGACTGGCTTTGTGTTTGTGTCTGCGTGCGGGATGTTTGACTAGAGCGGAGGCGTTGACCGCGGGGACTAGCATTGTACAAGCCATCGCCATCCTCGGAGACCGCATCTCCATCTGCATCCATTTCTGTGTCCTCGTTGGTGGTAGAACGTGCGTTGGCTCCACGGGATCGGAGACCGCCTCTCCTGGTTGATCGAGGAGTGGCGCTGGATGTTTGCGCAGGAGTGTTGTCGTCGTCATCGGAGTCAGAGTCGCTGCTCTCGGAGTCTTCGTCCAACGAAGCGACCTTTCTCCTTTTGCGGCGCTCGTCTTCAACAATTTCCTTGAACATGGCGAACCGGAGGATAGACTCCGCGATCTTGGCGTCGCGCTCCTCGACTCTATTGGAGAGGCGTGACTTGGCGTGAGCCGTGGACAGACGGATCAAGGTTTCCAAGGTACGAGCAGTGATGGGCGATGTTCTGCGCTGGTTACCGGACAATTCGTCGTTTCTCAGAGCAGAATATGTTGCGACAATGTGGTCGGCGGCTCCCTTGGTCAGAACAGGCTTGACACGAGACTTGGCGTATTGAATGTATTTCTTGATGAAAGGAATGCTCAAAATCTCAATGTTCTTGTTCTTGGACCGGCTCATGTGGGCCATGCCGGCGTGAAGCATGACATTGAACTTCTCGTAGACATCAGTAGGCTGGTTCGAGTCCTGCGTATCCTCGAGGCCGACACCAAGCGTTTGGTGAAGCTGTTCGCGGACAGGAGCACCCTCCTCAGTGCCGGGTTGGCGGTAGCGGTGCATACGGAGGACGTGCTCTGACACCATTCTGTCCCTGGAATCCTCAATGTCATCGGTCACAACGAAGAGCAAATCGAAACGCGACAACAGGGAATCTGGAAGGGCAATGTTCTTGTGGGGGTCTTTGTGGGGGTCGTATTGTCCGTAGATCGGATTGGCAGCGGCCAGGACACTGCATCGGGCGTTCAAACTCGTGTGAATACCGGCCTTCGCAATGGTGACAGTTTGCTGCTCCATGACTTCGTGGATAGCCACACGATCGACATCGCTCATCTTATCGAACTCATCAATACAGACCACACCGCGATCACCCAGAACCATGGCACCAGCTTCAAGTCTCCGCTCGCCAGTTTCCTTGTCAGACGTGACGGCAGCCGTAAGACCGACACCGGAAGATCCTCGACCTGTCGTGGCAATTGCAAGCGGGGCGGTATTCAAGACGAAACGAAGCAGTTGAGACTTGGCGGTCGAAGGGTCACCGACCATGAGAATGTTAATATCACCACGCAAGTGTGTGCCGTTGTCCAGGTTCTTCTCCATACCACCGAGCAGCATGAGCAGGATGGCCTTCTTGATGTAATCATGTCCGTAGATACTGGGCGCGAGGGAGTGCGACAAGAGTTCGAAAACGCCCTTCTTCTTGGAGACCTTATTGATGTTGCGGATGTCGGTGTCGGTAATGGTGGCCTGTGCGATTCCTCCACCAGATTTTGAAGACAATTGGATAATGTTATTCGCAAGGACAAGCGTGCGGAATGTGGCAGACGTAGACGAAGCGTTTCTGTTACCCAGAGAGCGGTACACTCCGACAAGCTGGATTCTGTCACCTGGCTTAGCGCGATCAACCAGATCATCGTCAACAATCACATCCACACTCCGAGGCAGCTGGCCAGCCGGGGCTCTCTCGGGCATTTCTTGAATCGAGATAGTCTGATGGTCCATATACGTGGAGAAACCGTACTCTGTGACAAGCTAATATG